TTTCATCTAAAAGCTAAATACCACTTTCCGTGCATTTCGCATTAAGAACGCCGCCAGTTCTTCTCAGGTCTGAGGCTTCTTCTTTTAGAACTTATAGTAGACTCATAGACAACAAAAAATTGTAATAATTTAATGCTGAATAAAATATTTTGAATTTAGAAGAAATGTAGAAAGAATATGTCCTCCAAATTTCACGTTTCTACGATCAGCAGTTTAGGCTGTGCGTTGATCGATCAGTCAGTCAGGACAAAGTATTTTATGTATATATAGATTAATATTTACATCGGCCTTACTTGTTATTCATGAACAAGATGGAAAAATTTATTCCCTAAGTAAAAGTTCGACCAAATCCACCAGTTTATTAATTCTCTAGAATTTCGAACTAAAGAAGGACTACTTGAGGTATGTTTGTGTTGTGAATATTGATATTGTATCACAGCATTTCGATATAAACTATTTCAAAATGAAATAAAAGAGTAAGCGTATTTATTTATTTATTTATTTATTTACTTCTTTTTACACATTGTATCAATTCAATGATCACTTGTGTACGTCAATTAGAAGACTTAAACTAAAGCTACGAGGGTTCGTAACGCGCCCTGGTCTGAGAAGAACCCACAAGAAACTCAGCCAAGTAACATTTTTTTTTATTGTGATCATTGTTTCACAAACATCCTTACTTCAGTATAAAGAGCAATTCATTCCCAAGCTTTTTTATCACTTAAATAATCCTTTACATTATAATAGGATTTATTTATTAATTGTCTTTTAATGTAAATTTTAAATTTATTTATTGACAGTTTTAAAGTATCATCTGGTAGTTTATTGTAAAAGCGAATACTATTACCAATAAAGGAATTACCAATTTTATGGAGCCTAGTGGTGGGCTGAACTAGCTTATTTTTGTTTCTAGTGTTTACATTATGCAGGTCACTATATTTCTTGAATTTATCAATATTTTTATGTACATATATTAGATTTTGATAGATGTATTGGCAGTGTACAGTCATTATTTTAATTTCTTTAAACTTATTCCGCAAAGATTCTCTTGGGCCTAAATTATATATAGCTCGAACAGCCCTTTTCTGCAGCACAAAAATTGTGTCAATATCAGCAGCATTACCCCATAGTAAAATACCATATGACATAATGCTGTGAAAATAGCTAAAGTATACTAACTTAGCTGTCGTTACATTTGTTAATTGACGTATTTTCTTAACCGCGTAGGCTGCAGAACTGAGCTTATTCGATAATTGAGAAATATGAGGGCCCCATTGGAGTTTGGCATCTAATGTAATGCCTAGAAATACAGTGGTATCAGCTAGATCTAGTTCCTCATTATTCAGTCGTACACTGGTTTTTACACTTTTAACATTTGGTAAAGTGAATTTTACACATTTTGTTTTTTTCTCGTTTAGTAAAAGGTTGTTGACATTAAACCATTGTACCACTTTGGATAAAGCAATGTTCACATCGTCAATTACTGCTTGTCGTCTGTTAACTTTAAAAACTAAAGATGTATCATCAGCAAACAAAACTATCCCGTGGTCATCCTTTACGAGGTATGGTAGGTCATTTATATAAATGAGGAACAAAAAAGGACCCAAAATTGAACCTTGTGGTACACCCATTTCAACAACTGATCCAGGGGAACGCTTTCCATTCACATCTACCCTCTGGATTCTTTCATTCAAATATGATCTAAGTAAATCCAGAGCCTTATCTCTAATTCCGTAGTGGTGTAATTTTCTGACCAACGTTTCATGATGAACGCAATCAAATGCCTTGGACAAATCACAGAAAATGCCAAGTGCATCACGTGACTCCTCCCAGGCCTCAAATATATTTAGAAGTAACGCGACTCCAGCATCGGCTGTTGAACGACCGCGAGTGAAACCGTATTGCTTTACATGTAATAGTTCATTATTATAAAAATGTTTCGTAATTTGAGTTAACATTATTTTTTCAAAGATTTTACTAAATGTAGGTAATATTGAAATAGGCCTAAAATTAGTGGCATCAGAGGTACAACCCGATTTAAACAAAGGAATAATTTTACTAAGTTTCATTAAGTCAGGAAACACACCAGATTCTACACACTTATTAAATATTAATGCTAAGTCAGATGCAACAACATCAATAAGTGGTTTAAGGATGCTAATAGAAATTCCCCAAAGATCTTTTGTTTTTTTAACATTCAGTAATTTAAATACATTTATAATTTGTTGTGCATTTATATTTTCGAACTTAAAGCTAATATTGCATTCTTCCACATTTTGTTCCAATAATTTGATCGCAGTGGCAGGTGAAGAGTTCAGAGACCTAGTAGTGGAAACTGGTATGTCGGTAAAAAAGGTTTCAAACGCGGCGGCTACCTCAGAGTCAGAACTAATGTATTTATTATCTATATTTAATTTAAAGCTATTGTTTAGAGTTTTACTCTTTCCAGTTTCCTCGTTAATTATTTTCCATGTAGCTTTAATTTTATTACCACTATTTTCTATCTTGTTACTCAGATAATGAGACTTTGCCATTTCGCAATCCTTTTTAAATAATTTGGAAAATGATTTAACTTTGTCTCTAAACCGTTCACTAGTGTTATGCTGCCGTAAGAGTGAAAGGTATATTTATAATAAAGATTTTTATTATTTTTACAGAACACAATATATATTATAGTTGAAGCGTGGTATTTTGTTTTATTAGCGTGTAGAGCGTAGAGAGTTTTTAGTAACAAGGTGTTTACTTGCGAGGTGTGCAGGTACGAGTATCTACGAAGTTGTGACTTTCGCTCGCGGAGAGAACTTAATGAAATTCTGTTTCGGAGACTACTTAGCACTGGTTGGGAACTGGCGCGAGTCTAGAAACCGAATACATGCAATTGAAACTTTATATTATGTAACTTTGAATTACACCTACAAACACCAGGACTCCTTGAGAACGTTCGCGCTTGCTTCGAGTACCTTCACCATTAACGATTTCTATTATAAGCTGCTATTGGGTGATAATATTTCTTAATGCCGCTACGATTTAATTTCATTCATATTTTATTTCAATTTATCATTTATTTTTTATCAAAAATAAATAAACACCATATGGATAAAGCTGTTAAAACTAAAAATCTTAAAATGAAAAATCTCCGATTTTGTTGTACCATTAATAATTTTATAAGAGTTGACTTATCCTGATAATCCTACGTAGTCACATTCATAGTGAGTAGCAGCGTAGGATATATTGTGCAATGAAGCGCACAGGTGAGTGCGGCGAGTGCAGGCGATCGAAAACACGTATATTTGTGACGCTACTACGACCGTTACAACAAGAAAACGTAATTTATATATATCAGAGTAACAATGGCGCATTCTAACGCGTTGGACTCATCATCTCTCCCGACACGCCTTCAATACATTGGGACAACTACAGGTGTCGGTGTCAGTGTCAAACTTTGTCATTCTGCAAAACGCGCAGTGTACTCGAAACTGCATAAAAATTGTAATCAATGACGTGACCAGACGCGCTAATCCACTCGCTAGTTATCACGCTAGTTTCGGCGCTGAGAGAACCAACACATTTTATTTTCGTCATAATAATAGGGGTTAAAGTATGAAATTGGCGATTTGTACTGAAAAATTGAAATTCGTTTATTTTTATTAAACACATTTATTTAATCAAAATTATTACCATTATTATCTACACATTGCTGCCATCGAATAGGAAGGTGATTTATGCCTTTGCGATAGAACTCTGGTGATCTAGATTCGACAAACTGTGTGAAAGTACTTTGTACTGCCTCCTGAGAAAAAAACTTTTTATCACTTAGAAAATTGTCCAAATCACGAAAAAAATGGTAGTCTGTTGAAGCAAGGTCTGGCGAATACGGAGGGTGACGAATGGTTCGGAATTGCAGTTCCTGTAGAGTTAAAACGGTTTCTCGTGCTGTATGAGGTCTCGCGTTATCATGGAGCAATAATGGTGAAGATCGATTCATGAGTCGGGGCTGTTTCACTGCTAGTTTTGCACATGCTCATTGTTCGGAGTTCGGCACAGTAGACATCTGCCGTTTTTGGTTGAGCAGGTCGGAGAAGGCTATAGTGAATAACACCATGGTGAGACGACCAAACAGTTACCATTACCTTTTTATTGGTAAGCTTTGCTTTAGGACACTGTTGCCATTGCATTTTTCGCTTACGGTTATCGTAAAGAATCTACGAGTACTTTTCATCACATGTCACAATTCGATCCAATATTCCTTCATTCCTGTATCGATTCAACAAGGCAACACAAGCTTCAACACGCGTTTCTTTCTGCAGATCAGTTTAATCATGAGGCACCCATTTTTCATATTTTTTTATATTATTGATTTGACACAAATAATTTTCAGGTAATGATTAAAAACGATTGTTATAGCAATGATACTGACGTTCATTATTCAGTGCAAGTCCGCGGCGCTGGGCGGAGGGCGCGCAAGGGTGCGTGCGGGGGTGCACGCGGGGTAGGCCCGATGAAGTTTTAATTTAATAACAAATTCTGCCGGCGCTGGGACTAGCACTTTAATGGAATATCGCACTTTACAAATCACAACAAGTCAAAGTATTTTCAAACCAGTCCTTTATTGCTCTTAGTTCTTTTATTTTATCTGTGTGTCTCTCCGCGGCTGGTGGCCCTACCCTTTACAGAAGAGTACAGTTAAAGATTTTGGTGCATAATACCAAAAATTAATTGAATTTTAATATAATAAGATATAATTAAATTTAATGGAATGTTAATATAAAATTGTACCTTAAATTAAATTAATATAAAATCTTGCGCTTAACTCAAATGTTCGATTCTAAGGAGATCTAATTTAAAGCGAAGTCCTGTAGGAGCTAAAACTAGTAACAATTAAAAAAAATATACATATGACATAATTAACATTTATTGTGTTCATTCAAATTACACACATATTGTATATACATAATAATATACATAATTGTATATAGTATGTATATTGGCATTACGATTCAATCGTTAGTAAGTAGTCCGGTGCCTCCCACAAGAGGAAGATACTGGAGGGCGTGTCTCGTGCGGCGCGCGCGGCGGTCGGCGGCCACGAGGCAGCCCACGCGCAGGTCGACGAGCGCGGCGCCGGGGCAGCGGCCGCGCCCGTTCTCCTGCCGCGTGATCGTCACGTTGCGGAGATGCCGGTCGATGCGCACCGACGGGAACGACATCCGCTCACTCACTACCACCCGCACCACGCCCGCCACGCCGTTTTGGCCGCACAGCAACGACTACAAATACATTCCAATCATTCATTTTAGTCTCACTGAGTTTCTTTCACCAGTTCTTCGCAGGGTCGAGGTTTTTTCATTTCGAAGTGGTGGAAGACCCATTCGGTTAAGCTAAAATTGTAATAATTAAATTATTAAAAAAAAAAATTTCGAATTTGAATGAACCTAATCGGTTCAAATAATCTACCTATCTAATATATTTAAACGAGCAATTCTTGTATATTTATTTATTTATATCGGCGATCTCGGAAACGCCTTTAACGATTTCATTGAAATTTGGTATGTTGCGGTTTTCGGGGGCGTAAATTCGATCTAGATTCGTCTTATGTCTGAGAAAACGCGTGTTTTCGAGTGTTCATGCGGTTTTATTTTGCATTATTCCACTCAAAATATGGTCGCTATTTTCGCATGGTCGGGCATAAGCATCGTGATCATTTATATCCGACCGAATGTTCGAATCCCGGCCGAATACAAAGTTTTACTTTTGTTTTTTTTTTTTGTATTTATTCAATTTTTTTTTATCAAAAAAATATGACATAACTAAAAAGAAGTCAGAACCAGGTACGAATGTTTTAATTGTCATTTTATTTTAGAATCAAGCCGGGATAAAAATATAAATGTAAACATTAATATTTTTATCCCGGCAAAAAATATTCTCTGTATATTTGATACTGTTACATACAATCCTTACTAAAATTAGAAATATGAAAATGTGTTTGTTGGTTTCCCCCAATTTAACGAATCAATGGAGGGTCCTATTTTTTTGGATTGAAAAGAGCTACCTTGTATCCCAGTACTACATATACATGTACGAAAATTGAATAGTTATGTATGTTGAAAGTTAATAATATATACATTAGGGTATTTATTAAAATTAAAATCTTATCTTAGATCATTATAGGTACAACCTCGTCAATGAAGCCAGAGCACTGGTTGTTGGGGATGGCGAAAGTGGTCGTCTCTGTTGTCTCGAAACCGGCGACGGCTTGAAAAGAAATTAACAATACTTGTGTATCAAAACAATTTTTTATGAGTTTTTAATAAAACTTTTATACAAAAAAGATAGCGCCAAAGCATTATTGCCAATTGTATCTTCCTGACTAAATTTTAATCACAGAAGTCAATCTTACCGAAGATAACCATAGGGATATTATAGTGTACCAATGCATTCCCCCCCAACGTGCGTTCACCTTGTCGTGGTGGGGGGGCTCAGTAGTAGTAGTACGAAGCTAAGAAACGCACAGGGAGGTTGCCCACTTCGGTGGGCGGTGGGAGGTGGCCCTCTTCGGGGGGCGGTGTACCTTGCGGGTTGCTCCTGGTACTTCTCTGATAGCAGAGTGGACCTTGGGGCAACTCCAAGGTTGTGGTGGTCTGCTTTGGCAGACCTGCCGTCGGGGCGTCGTAGTTGAATGCGTAAGCGATCCTGCGACGCCCCATTAAGACGGGGGAAGGTTTTGTTGGGTTTTAGTGGGTAGTACTGGCTGTATTACGCCGGTGAGTCCCACACGTCGTGCGTAAATGCATTTCCCAACGTTAAAAAAAAAAAAAAGTGTACCAATGCATCTTAACAGATATTAACTCTTAACAGATATTAACAGATCTTAACAGAGTATTAACATACTGATGCACTCTTTATCTCTTTAGGCGTACGCTGGTATGCAGGCGACGCAGCACAGCATAGCACAGATTTTGCAGGCAGTTGAGGCAGACTTACGCGAGCAACACGTGCTGTGACACAGTTTAATGACACACGCTTTATTCGCATCCTAGTTTGGTAATTTTAATAAGAACTCTTTTAATGTCTTTTTTGAATAGTCTGGATGATTTGTATCATACAAATGAAGTTCACAACGAACTAATAAAATTAAATGTTCTGTCATTGCAACAAAATTTTAAAATAATGACAAAAAACACGTGTCGACGTGCACGCGTCACGCGGAAATCTGTGCCGCACTACAACCGACAACGAGGCGCAGAGCAGTACAGTCTACAGACACATGTCTGCACCGCAGCATACGTCGTTCCATATTCGGTCATAGATTACAAAATCTACTCTGCGCTGCGTGGAACTGCGTCGCCTGCGTCTCAGCATACGCCTAGCCTTACTCACAAAGTTTTCACAAAATCAAACTCCTACTGAGAATCTCTTAATAGAGAGACCCAAATACTTTTTTTATAAAAGCCTATGTACAGAGCCCAGAACCGTGATCCTAGCCTTACAAACTAGCCCGTGGTCACAGAACTGACGAGACACTTTTATATTTCATTAGCAATATATTCATATTATAAGACAGGACATACAAACATATATACATACCCAACTCTACAAGAGTCCTGAAGGGCAAATCGTTTGCATGTTCCGACAACGCTATATCTGAGAACAGCACAGGAAGCCACAAAAACCACACAAGCATATTATTATTACTATATCTCCCAAACATTACCCTAGCGATATCCTGCAGTAAGGCAATTCTGATCTGCTAATGAACGAACAACTTGAAAAGTTATATTATTTAAACAAATATATATATTAGTTACTCGTAATGCGTAATATAAATGCGCGTCTAACAACATTTAGTTACGGTCTAATTAATACAAATTGCAGTCAATTTCCGTACACAAATATTTTTTTGTTTTTGTATAAAAACTTTTTAAAAGAAATGAAAAATATTATAAAAATTTAAATTTGTGGTTGGAATAATAATAGATTGGCCTGGTCCTTCTTTAGTTGCAAAATACCCTACATTAATAGGAAACGTGTAGAAGTTTTTCAAGTAGTGTAAAGATTTCGACAGATCAAAACATTAACTAATATTTTCACAAGTTGAGCTATCTTAAGTTTTCTTCTTGAATGGAAAAAAGGGCGGGAAAAGTGTTGCGTTTAGTTTTTTAATCTAATGAAATTCATCACTCACTTTCGTAATGTTGTTTGAGCCGTTATTCCGTTTACCATACTATAGCAAAAACTGTGTACCACTGCATCGAATTTTACTTGGCCTACCTGACCTACTTCTCAAATATTCTGGCAACATTTGATAAACGTTTTAATCTAAGATGAAGCTATTTAAAAACTTGAAACTGATACCACGCAAAAGTTCATCTTTCTGAGTATTTACCAAACTGTTTCACTTTAACTGTTTCATGGTATCATCAAAATAGTGGTTCTTGGCGACTGCAGCTCGGCCACGGGCCCGGGCTGGCACCGGGCTGGCCCCGAGCTGGCCGCGGGCTGGCCGCAAGCTGGCGAGCCCACGGCTGTGGCGGCGCAAGAAGTAGACAAAAAATATAATTAATCTTCGTCTGCATCAGCGCTGTTATGAGCCGCCCAGACGTGATTTATGTTCTTTATCGACTCAAATAACGCGGAATAAAGAAATTCAATTTTTCCTTGTTTATATAAGCTTTGTATTCTAAATCACGCGGCGTTTATAAATAAACCTTAAATTATAATTAAGTTAGGAATCTACGGAAACTAAAGAATACTCGGAGTCCGCCAAAAAATATGACAGTCAAAAATAAAAGCGTGTATTACTGTTTATGTTAATAAGTAGATATTAGTAGTCGTTAATTTACAATTTTTGAGAAGAAAATAATATGAATAATAAAAAATTAAAAAAATACTATATTTCTTTGTATTTCTTCATCATTAGTTCTCTCCACCTTAAAAGAGAGTTAGCGTAATATTAACTTTTTTTCTTAATTATGATGAAATCCTTTAGCTATACTAATTATATATTTTTATACAGTTTTATAACATTAGATATTATATATTACAAATTTTAAAACATTATTGTTTAGCTTCATGTTGAGCTCTATGTCACTCTGTCTGTATTATTTTTAGTCTATTAAAATCTATGATACATCTTTATTACATTTTCAAGGTAATATTCATTCATATCAAAAGTAAACATGACGAAATATAACAGATTTAATCATGTTTGATTAAAATGCTTTTGATGGCTAAAGTAATAATTTTAACTGAAAATAATATATAGAATTCTTTGATATATAGGTATATAATTAGAATTTCCAAATCAGCGTCAACATAAAATATCAAAATCAGTACACTTGGCTGTCACTGCGCGCGGCGCTGCGATGGGTATCGATATCGCCAATTCAAGTTTCGATCATCGCCAATACAATGTTTTTTATTTAAGATCTAAAAAATATTAAATTCTATTGTACTTGGATAATATAGTAGTTATCAGAATATAAATTGTCTCTTATTGACACATTATTATTATGTTTTATTTAATAAAAATTATGATAAAAAGGTAAAAAAATATTTAAATAAGAATTAAGATTTTTGTGTAAGAAAGGATTCCAAACTTGTAGCCGTTTATTCTTGTACGAGCTTATGACTCGGTGCGGGGTGGCCGCCATCGTCGCCTGGGACCGGGGACTGTGGCTCGTATGAAAGCAGCGCGTCGCGCAGCCGCGAGATGTCCGCCTGCTGCACGGCCACCTCGCGGCGCAGCTCCTCAAGCGACAAGGATATCGCCAGCCACTGCGACTTCTCGTCCAACTCCTTCATTATAATATTTCTTTACTAGATTACATATTTACATTAAAATGAGACTAGTTTTATATGTTCTAATTCAAACTTGCACCAAAAAATCTGTTTTCGAAAGTAAAGAAAATAATTATAAAATAATATTTATTTATTATTAAAAAACTAAACTACTAAATTATGAACCATCTAAAATCACGGGGGCGGGTCGCTAGTCAACAATAATATGATTATATATTAATCCATACGTTTATTGTAAAATGATCGGTATTTTAAGCACTTTTATCATCAGCCTCTCGAATGCTCTTCATTTCCCTTATGTATAATATTTAAAACCTGAGTATAAAGAAATGTTGAAGCTTTTTCAATTTTTTTAAGTCTCGTTATAATCTTCTCACTGAGATTATAACGAGACTTAGAGACACTGTATTATGTAGAGTTTAATATTCTATATAATAGTATACATACATATAGATAAATCTCAAATACGCGACCAGACTAGCAATATACGCATGTACTTAATAAATATTTACTTTTTCACCTTCAAGTTCTTGTTGGTCCCTTGTCTATTTACTTCAAAAATTACTATACAAGATCCAAGAGTAAATATGATTATTTCACCTGTGTAAGGAAAGATACCCTCAGAAAAGACTGGAAATGTAAAAGCAAACAAAACATTTTGCACCGATAGAGGACATAAATATTAATCAATATAAAAATAATAAGGAGTGTGTTTGTTACTATTTCATGCCGTAACGGCTCATTTAATTTAAGTGAAATTCGGAAAAGATAGATTTAGAAAGAGGAAAAGCCTACTATAAGAAACTATAATGCATATCTACTTTTTATCAAAGTGTGCGAAGCCATAGTAACAAAAAGTGGACTATTTTGTGTACTACTTCTTATACTCCCCTGTTTATTACGGGCGAACTCTTAATTTATATGAAGAACTATACAATAACCAAGCAAATCGCCGCCGAGATCAACAGCAGTGCGTCGTGGCAGGGGCGGCGGCCGCGTGCGCGCCGACAGCCCCACGCCCGCCAGGCGCAGCGACAGCGACCGGGCGCGCCACTCGCACGCGTGGAAGATCTCCGCCACATTTATGCAGATGGCCGCACCGAACCGTGGGTGAGACACGGCATATCTCTAGCCAATAAAAAAATAGGTAAAAGCTTCTTCTATACAGTTCAAATTAAAGGATCTTGTTGAGTACAAGACCCTAAAATCAAAAAGTGTTAAATTTGGTAAAAGAAAACCTTGATCCGTGCCGCAAGTGGTGAGCTCATCTGTCGCGCAAGCAGCGTTGCCAGCCGGAACATTGGAAACTGGTCAACCACCATTTCTTTAACTTGCATTAAGGAATTATCTAACTGCTTTATTGCCCAAACAATCACGATGAAAATATGATAATTTAGTTATAATTTTGACAATTATAATTTAGCATTATTGTACAAAATTGACTGAGACACTTGGCATTTCATTAGCAAATCTCTCTGTAGTATCTTTTTGTTCCTGGTCTGTGCTGTAGTGTATGACGTATGTCACATTATGTCAAAATAAAAAAGTTTTACTATGTTTTTTTTTATTGAAGAGTTTACCGTGAAGGAAAACATGGTGAGTGTCTTAGAGAAGCTATCAATCCTTAAATAATCTGCGTGCTAAAAGCTAGCGCACACGAGTAACTTTTGCATAATTGTGACAAAAATATTTCTATCACTGTCACGTGACGTCATCGGAGTACGCGCACGAGGGTCACGACTCACGAAACTTTTTTGAAATCCAAGCATCATAGGTTAGCATGGATTTAGACGAAACGGTCATTATCTTAGATAAAAATGAAAAATATTAATCTGAAATGCTATCATTTTGATCCACACAGTAAGAACTCACTACTTGTAGTTCATTTTTTAGTGTTGCTTAGTAAATTTTCTTTTTAAATAATAGCAAACTAAATTAAAATTATTATTCTTAATTAATTTTAACGTTTTAAATTACACATAGAATAATTCATATTTTATTTTATATTTTTTCTTTACGGTTATAAATATAATAATGGCAACACTAAATATAGTTTACTAATTAATATTCTTAAAATTGTAATAACTATAATGATAACACCAAAAATTAAATAAATAATATTCCATATTCAATTATAACACTAATTAGAATTATAAAAATGTTTAAAGTTATAAAATATTGTAAGGTACTTGTACAATTTTTCATTTTGTTAATTGTTGGTAAGCTGTCTGTAACAACTATACCTATACCTTATATACTCTTTATAACTATACCTTCGAGACATCTAACACCTCCAGTCTCTCCCGTGACTATGATTGCTGGAAAGCATTCGAAACGTCGGGAACCAAAAATCAAAATAAATCCGCGAAATAATCCGAAAAGAGTTTTATTTAAAATGTCAAATATTCACGTAAATCTAAGAAAGTATTACGGTCATTATCTGTGAACTCATGATACGTAAATTATAATTTCGTAAAAATTGCTAGGTGTGAGAGATATTATACTATAGATTTCTTTCCATTCTTTAATTTTCAAATTAACGTCAATATATTCTTTTAATTATTTGTCACTAAATGGCGGGTTTGTATCCGACTGGGACGAAGCCCAGAAGGATTCTGTATGTCCGATGCTATGTATATATTCAGCCCTTATAAACGTCCCACTCTTGAGCATGGATCTCCCTTTAGGATCAGGCCATAATCCACCACGCTGGCCAAGTGCGGGTTGACGGATTTCACATATCTTTCAAAAACTTGCTAGCTTCTCTTAGACATGCTGGTTTCCTCACGATGTTTTCCTTCACTGTGAAACAAGTGGTAACCACGTTGTAAATTCGCACATGAAAATAACTAGAGACCCGGGATTTGAACCAGCTTCACTCGGATTTCCAAGCGAGATTTGGATGAATTATAGTATGTATGTCATTTTTTTCTTATTTTTTTTTCGTCGGAATTTATTGAGTATACTTTCAAAGGGAATAGTTTTGAGAAATTATGACAAAAATATATTATACAACCTATATGTTTTAAAATAATACTTAGAAATACAAAATTGGTAAATAAAAATCAAATTTTATAAATCTTTTTATTTACTTCGCTTTCTAGTTTTACGCCGTTGGGTTTTATATTACATATATATTATATATTATACATTTTTTCAACTTCGTCTATCATATCGTTCTAATGCTATATTTACACGTTATCTTATCAATAGCTGAAAAGCGACAGTAGAACGGGAACGCAGGACACACATCGAGAGTGACAATTTTGTCCACCGTGCGCGCGCGTTTATTAAAACCTAGATGCCAGTTTCGTCACGGGTTTGTCCGGAGGTCGGTGGTCAAAATTGTCACCCAATTGTCACGTGATAACGTGCGCACTTCTCCACACATTCCATTCATAGACCGAACAAGAGTAATGACGACAACGAAAGCCACTCGTGTTCTAAGAATTCATCCCTTTTTCAATCAATATGCCATTTTTATATTAATTTTCAGTTTTTATAAAAATTATCCTACTAAAAACATTTTCATGTAAAATGACGACGAGACGTAAAATGAAGACGACACCATATGGCTCGCACTGTCAAAAAGTTATCAGATCTCGTGTAGAGCCAAGCTTTTAACTCTACACGTCCTAACTCTACAAGCCCTAACTTTCAAATGCTACACCTTATTTAAAATATGTGGCCGTATCGTTACTACAAGAACTATTGTATAAATTTCACTTCTTTTTGTAAGTCTAATACTAGCTTACCTTACTTAGATACAATCATATATACACCATGATACATATACATATGTATAAGTATTCTTTATTTTATTATTTTTCGATTCGAACATTTAAGTGCGTACCAATATCGTTTTATTATTTATATCTAATTGTAATTCCAAAAAATGTTAAACTACCATTATATCTTATTATTGTTGATAGAAATGCATAAATTACTATGATAATAACAAAAAAGTGATATAAACTGATAAAAAAGCAATTTTAATTACATGTTCCGATCATGCTTAAATAACTTTTGTAAAATTGATTCCAGTTTTTTTTTGTTAAAAACAAATCGTAGACAATTTAATTATTAATAACATTGCTCTCTTTAACAATCTTGATAAAGTTAATAGTTTTTAATATCTTGATAAAGTTAATAATTTTTAAAGCATGGGGTTGCCCCATGGCAACATGTATTTATATCATCAGTCGGGCAATTTGAAGAGGATCGCATAATAAAAATTTGAGGTGGAATAGTTTTCGGTACTCATGCGCCGATTCCTCCCGAACTAACAATTATATAATAATCATAGAGGTCACCTAGTTTAAATATGGAAACTATGTTCTTTAAAATTAAAAATAAATCATTTCTTCTATCAAAGTTGATTTTGTCTGTCATCCTTATTAATACCTATATATTTTATTTAAAATCGTGAAATCATATTTAATTGTTATATAATATATTATTATACAATTTTAATAAAAACTATATCAAATATTTTAAGTTTGTGATTGCATATTAATAACATGGAAATAGCGTATCCATATACAAAAAGAAGGTGCGATTTCGGGCGCCAGGCACTGTTCTGCGAGCAAGGCCCCGAGCTGTGCGACAGTATCGCCTCTAATGTGGCCGAGTACAAGCAGTATATCCTCCGCAATCCTGTGCACCAACCCACACAGAACACCAAGAGCTTTTCAGAGCATTATGTGAATACAATTCGGTAAGATAGGCAAAAAAAATTGTGTTATAAATGCAGTTCTCGTGGAAAATGAATTCGCGGCCTTTGTTTTAGTATCAAGTGTCTGAACATACTCGTATGTGCATTGTGCAATGCCATGTGAAATCAGTTAAACGAAAATAAAGGTAACGTAATTTAAACTTTAATATTTTTAGTGCCGAATATGCGACGACTGGTGCGAATCACGCAGAGGGAGGATGGCCCAAAGACGTTAATGTTGTAGATCCTGAAGCGACGCAGCGTTATCGCAGAAAAGTTGAGAAAGATGACAACTACATTCACTGCGTGATGTCACTCGCTCCAGTAATTAAATTAATAAATAAATATTTCTATTAATCTCTTTATAATATTCTTAATTTTTAATTGATATATTCTAGGGCATGGAACATTATGTGCAGCAAAACAATGCAATCGATATGTATCGTACTTATTATGCGGAAATGTCTTCGTTACCTCCCGTAGAGAAGAGTAGCTGCCGCACAGTGAATGTTTACCGTGATGCAGCCACCGGCGGGGGACGCCCGATTAGCTCAATATGCTGGCAACCAGACGGAGGTCACAGTTTTGCCGTCACGTATGTTGATGTAGACTTCAATCACAATCCACGTGCTCCAATCGAATCTTACGTATGGGATTTGGAAAACGCAAATTATCCTGAAGTTGTATTAACTCCACCTGCGGCATTATTGGATTTGCAGTTTAATCCGCGAGATCATAACACACTAATAGGCGGAATGATGAATGGACAAGTGGGCGTATGGGACAGACGTCATGGCGGTGCACCCACTGTTACGTGTGCTCCACATGTTGCGCATAGAGAACTTGTGCGAAATGTCTTGTACATTAACTCCAAATCAGGCCAAGAATTCTTTTCAGGAGGACCTGATGGTGCTTGTAAATGGTGGGATATTCGAAATATGAGTGAGCCCACCGATGAAATGATTATGGATGTTGTAAAATCATCTTTTGATGTGCAAAGTATGGCAACAGCCAATGGAATTAGCGCGCTTGAGTATGAACATACAATACCTACTCGATTTATGGCAGGCACTGAGAATGGTCTAGTTATTGGTGGAAATCGTAAAGGCAAAACTCCCGTGGAAAAACTACCAGCCAAGGTACTTCGAGTTACAATACGGTACATAATGTTCCGTACATAATATATTGATTTAATATTAAAAACTCATTATTTTTTCAACCAACAGTACGAAGCACATCTAGGCCCGGTATGGTCATTGGAACGTAATCCCGGTTTCTTGAAAAACTTTCTTACAGTGGGTGACTGGACAGTACGCGTATGGAGTGAAGATTGTCGGGAGTCTGCTGTACTCTGGTCTCCGCCACATCGCTATAAAGTTACTGCTGCAACTTGGAGCCCCACTCGGTAATTTAAAGATATCATCAAGTCCCATGCTTGGTAGATGAGTAGCATAATATACTGTTTTATGATATAATTATGTAATACTCGTGACTAACCATCACTACGTTCGGGTACATCCATAAATGTCTTTTCGACATACATTTTATTGTTTTATTTCAGACTCTAAACGGTGCAAACTGATAAAGCAAATCAAGGCCAGTTTTTTTAACAATACTTTTCACGTTGCAGATTATCGTTGATGCTAGTGATGCAGTGGAATGGCATCCTCGCGACGTGGGATCTGCTGCGGCGTCAGCACGAACCCGTGCTCACCATGCAAGTGTGCGAGGAGCCGCTGCTGCGCGTGCGCATGCACGACGGTGTAAATACATCATTTATATTTTAATTTCTTAAGCAGTTATGCTGTATGATTACATTGTCTATTTAGTCAAAAAATGAATTCGTTAATTTTAAATAAACACATAGAATGGGTAACTTTTGTTATACATACATTAGTCGAAAGTAAAAAGCACTGCTGTTATTCAAATTCAAAATATTTTATTCAGCATTAAATTATTGCAATTTTTTACTGAACGTAATGAGTCTACTACCAGTTCGGAAAGAAGAAGCCTCAGACTAGCCTTTTCCATTACATATGTCCCCTCTATAAAATATATTTATAAGTTACTTAAATTAGACCCTTATAGCTAAAACTTATTTTATAACATAGGGTACGTTTGCTGCGTGTGGAAGTAGCAAGGGCAACATTTACATGATTGAGCTATCACAAAATATGGCGCAGTCAGATAAGAATGATAAAGCCTTGCTAACGGCGGTTAGTGTACCTGTATAATTGATACTTCATCATTTTAGTTCTTATTCAAAGAAACACTTAGAGCTGAAACTTTAGAAATGAAACTTTTTTGATTAAAACCTAAAACTGTTTATGATATTATATGCCAAAATGATGTTCTTAATAAATAAATAAATAGACTCTTAAAAAAACATTTTCTTTTATCATATTTTATAGTATTTATGCTTAGATATTTTAATTTTTTTTTGTCTATAGATATTCGAGCGGGAGAGCAAGAGGGAACGTATTTTGGAAGCGCGTATGCGGGAATTTCGGTTGAAGCTGCGGCAGACGGAGGGCGGCGGCAGCCCCGTGGTGTCCGAGGTGGAGGTGGCCGGCGACCGCGACCTCGCCGACGCCACCACCGAATATATGCAGATCGTTAAAAAGGAACTTGCTGCTCTATAGATATAGTGTTCTATAATAGTAGAGACATCAGATACAGGGAATCCATTTTTTACGATCAACTTTTGGACACCTAAAAATATTTTTCCATGTTTAAGATTTATTTATTTAGATGTAATTTTTAGAATTAATATGAAATGTTTTATGCTAAATCATATTGTTAAATATAAATAATGTTTAATCTATACATATACTTAACATAACCACATTAGTCATTATTAGAAAATAGTATTTTCACAATATTTTGTGACGACTAAAATTTAATGTTAATTTTACTTGTCCATTGTTTATTTTTTCTTATATAAATAATTAATCAACGATAGAAATATTTTAATTTTAAAAGCCTATGTTCAGAAATCTATACATATAATAAAAGTCTAACTAAGCCGAATCTGTACATTAAATATTTTTTGGAAAATCTAATTGAAACAGACAATATTATCGATACAGAATCCGAATCTATATTTTTTAGAATTTTTGTGTCTGTCTGTCTGTCTGTCTGTTACCGCATCACAGAAAAACCACTGGAGGGATTTTGATGAAATTTGGTATGGTGATAGCTGGTTATCTGGGTCAACTTATAGGATACTTTTTACCGCGGGAAAATGTCTCATTTCTGAGAAAAAATACAAAAACTGCAATATTTGATTTTTGGTCATCTGAACGCGGGCGGAGCCGGGGGCAATGCTAATAAAATATATTATTATGATACTGTTTAAGTTTCCATTTTTATTTCTTTTCTTTTTACCCGACTGCGTCAGAAGGACGGTGATGTTTATCGAGGGAATGTATGTATATTATTTCTTGCACGCTCTGTAGCTTTAGAGAGCCCGCGCACAAAATTGAGCAGCCAGTTATAACAACCATAGCGACGGACAGTTGGGACCATTCCGTCAAGCGATATGGACGTGGAGGATCTTATTGTTAATTGTATATATTTTTGTAAACCTTTTATAAAACCCTTTATTTTGATATCTCTCGGTAGGTTTTGATGAAAAAAATTTTTGGAGACATAATATGGTGTCAAATATCAGCCATTTTAATCTAATGGCACCTCTCAAGCTTTAGCTTGATGGATTTTATCCTTCAAGCCGTTTAGGCTCCAGAGTGTGCCAAAGAAATATACATACATATTACATACACAAATATAACCCTTCTTCTGGCGCAGTCGGGTAAAAATAGTGTTTATTTTTCATATTATTTATTCCTTACTTATGGTAATACATCTGGCTGCTGCAGCCAAGTGCGCGGACACTCACGGAAGCCACATATATTCGTCTACACTTGTTCTGGCTGCGCGCAGCCACTGGGCTGCAGTGCAATCAGGCGCGTTCTGATGACTGCCGCAGCCAGGCAGCCGTGGCTGCTTAGTGCGCGGGCTCCCATACGCCGTAATATGTTCGACTGGCTGCCTAGTGCGCGGGCTCTCTAAGCGATTTGATGCATATTAGCTTGAAAGGTATCGTTAGATTCGTCTTAATTAAATATATAATATGTTGGGACATTACATTTTTGGCGCCATATTATTATGTCTTTAAATATTTTTTTCCTTAAAATCTATCGAGTGGGGTATCAAAATAAAGAGTTTTATAAATGGCTTATAAAAATCTACACAACATAAAATGTTTAAATGTAATTTGGAATGAGAAATGCTAACAAACAACAAATAAAAAAAAGAGTGCGTGTAACCTTTACGCGCAGTTGCGTGTAAATTATCTTAATTAATACTAAGTTATTAATATATGTTGAAACTATATACGGCACTTTACGAATTACGATTCACGGGAATTCATTTTCACTCATTTTCACGTTGATATTATGTATTGTATAATAATATTATGACTACGCCCCGAGTCACGACACTGGCTAGCGCGACCTAGTGCGTAGAGTTGTCAGTACATGTTACATCTATACAGATAAATAAAATTGAAGTGTCTGTTTGTAATGCAAACAGCTTTTTACTAAATGCATAAGGAATGGGGAAGATTACTGAAAAAATTTGGGCAGAGGGGCGCTGTGTGCTTGTGACCTGGGGCATTTCATATCAGGAAAAAAAGTGAGGTTAGGAAATTTGTTCATATGCGGGTTATTTATACCTCTAGTAGGTATGAAAGTGGATACGTAATATTTGTTTTCGACGGTGTTTATTTTTAAAATTATGGACCTTTGAAAAATAATCATAATCCAAACTTCGATGTTTTAGATTTAGTTTTTCGAATGGGGAAAAAATACAAACAATTATTAAACTTGGCGTTTTGTATAGGTTTTTGATTGCTCTTTTTAATAAAGAAATAATTTTATTGAAATTAAAAAAATATGTACAAAACCGGAAGTGAAAATTTCAAAACAATTTTTTGATCACTTCAACCATTTTTTTTTTCATTTTTTTACACCCAAATATATTTTTTATTTATATTTTTTATATATTTTTATATTTATTTTGTTCATTCGGACACAGCTCCATAGTTTAATATGTATTATCTAAAAACATTTAAAATTTAAGATAAACATAGCCTATATAGTATTATTAAAAAACACTAAAAGATTCGTAGTGGAATCTCTATTACTTAGAAAGATGGGTAAATTAATGTACATACATACGCTCTGAGCGTGATGCTTCATACTAATTTTCGTCAGTTATTTGGCTAAATTTGAAGTGTAATCACAGGTATCATTGTATTCAAGCGAGTTTAAGCTCTGAAAACTTAGGGTTTATTACTTGCTATTTTTTACAAGCTTGTATTATTAGTCAATGCCTGGTCCAACGTTCCTTAAACATAGCTAACCTTGATCTTCACACACGTCCACAGGTGAATATTTTCTTTTATTTTTTGTACTTTTTCACTACTATTTTAAATTTAATTAAGATTAAGATACATAATTATATTTAAACTACCATAATTTTTTAAATTGCAGGATTTAATTTACAACTTCGAAAGTTATAAGAGAATGCGGTGCCGTCTGTTTTCCCTTGGTTCAAGGTTTTACCATCTTACGCAGCTAGGGCAGAAAGACTAAGAAATAGAAATCTGAATAAGGAGCTTTTCCCACAAGTATTTTTAGATTGTAGTAATAATGATACTGAAGTTCCAGAGAATGAACTATTTATTGTTTATATCCTGAATTTGAATGGGTATTACTATAACTTTAAGGTTGTCGTTTATTTATGTCCAAAAGTTCATTAGAAAGACATCGCTACCTATATTGGTTTTGACTTCATCACATGGCTGATAATATGTATATACTCGTAGCACAAAACTGAGTTATCAGTTATCATACTTTTCACGATTCCTTTTAAAATGAAAAAATATTATATGAAGCCTTGTCGATGTGCCTGCGAAAATTATATAAATTATTGACACATGCAAAAATTAACTGAAAAAGGTTAGCTATTGTATCTATGTTAACTTTAAAAAAATAATATTGTACTGAAAAGTATGAACGACTGAATAAAAAATTTACATCTATACTATAATAAAATGGTAGAGGTCGAATGTCTGTACATAGCAAAAAAAAAACGAGTCAGGGGGATGTAAGAAGACAAATAGAACAAATCCAGATTTTTTCAATTTTTTTGTTTCTCTGTTTGTCTGTTTGCACGGGCTAATCTCCGAATCTATTGGACCGATTTAAATGAAATTTTGCATGGTGGTATCTTATATCCTCAGGCAACATCTTAGATACTTTTTATCCCGGAAAATCAAATAGCTCCCTTGGGATAGTTAAAAAAGTATAATAACTTATACAGCTTAGTACACAAAAACTACTGATTGGATTTTAATAAAACTTTACAATAATATAGTTCATATATGATAATAATAAATCGGCTACTTTTCATCCCGGAAAATTAAAGGGTTCCCGTGGGACAGTAAAAAAACTGTAGTAACTTATACAGCTTAGTACACAAAAACTACTGATTGGATTTTTATGAAACTTTCTAATAATATAGGTCATACATCAGAATAACAAATAGGTTACTTTTCATCCCGGAAAAATGTACGGCTCCCGTGGGATAGATGTTTTCGTTTATTTGTAACGTATTATGTACACAACATACACCCCTAAACAATAGTTATTAAAAAAATTGTTTGTTTGTCTGTATGTCTGTTTGTCTGTTTTTGTATGCGCGTTTCATGCGAAAAGTAATGGACCGATTTCAACGAAATTTGGTGAAGTGATAACTTATTACTTGAGTCAAAGTTTAGGATACCTTTTACTTCAAGAAAATCTTTCTCACGAGAAGATACAATAACCTAAAATACCTTCCGCGGGCTAAGCCTTAAGACATACATACATCAAAACAATATACTAAAAAATTGTAGGTCTTGAAAAGTCCTACAGGAAAGTTCTGAATAGTATATGTATATCTCATAAGCAATACCTATTCTTATCTATACCTATACTAAAACTAACTTAGTCAAATCGATGTGCGCGTTTCACGCAAAAAGTACTGAACCGATTTTAACTAAATTTTGTACAGTGATAACTTAGTACTGGGGTCAACATTTAGGATACCTTTTACGACAGGCAAATTATTCATTCCCACAGGAAAACACAATAACTGGTTCTATCGAATTGTCCTTAGGAAATATGGCTAACGCTGGCTCAACCTTAAGAGATAGATCAAAACATTGTATAAGAAAATTGTAAGTATTAAAAAGGTCGATAGAAAAGTTCTCAATAGTATATATCTATCTTCTAAGGTACACTCGCTATAACTATTTTCATTATTATATATTACTGTTCTATTATACGTTATTTATTCTATCTATAAATATATAAAACTGTAGAGGTCGAATGTCTGTACATAGAAAAAAAATGCTAAAAACCGAGTCAGTTATCTTCTTACATCCCGTAAAAAGAAAACTAGAACAAATCCAGATTTTCTCTATTTTTTTGTTTCTCTGTCTGTTTGTACGGGCTAATCTTCGAAACTATTGGACTGATATAAATGAAATTTTGCATGGTCGTACCTTATATCCCCGGTCAACATGTAAGATATTTAACATTCCGAAAAGTTAAAGAGTTCCCGTGGGATAGTTAAAAAACTATAGTATCTTATACAGCTTAGTACACAACAACTTATGCACCTAATTTAGTAAAATTTGGCATGCTGATACCTTATATTGCCGGTCAAACAACAGGTTACTTTTCATCCCAGAAAAAATAACGGTTCCCGTGAGAACTAATAGATTTCTATTAGTGTTTTTCTAATTTAAATATCTGAAGCTAGTATTAATTCAATATAAAAAAAATGATAAAGTAATAAATGAAAAACATGAAGCTCGAAATATTATTTATATCTTATTATATGATGTGTTAAATTACCTAGAAATCATACAATTTTTTTACATTACAAAATACTCGTATATATTATCACAGATAATATAATACGATACTAGTATTATATACTTCTATACAATAGTATTTTCTGGATCGGTATCTTACTACTAAAATAGCAATTCCCGCACATACATACACGTGTATACATATATCATTAGAATTTTTGTCTAAAAATAATCACGGAACGCGCGAGCGTCGCTCGCTGCTCACCGTGAACTATTACTATACTCGTATATTAGTGACCAATATTGAAAGGGACACAGATGTATATGAGCTATGACAAGTTCTCAGAGGGAAGGTGTTGAAGAAACCGGTAGTGTGTGCGAATGTTCATCCGAGCGGCTGTGGCAGGGGGAAGGCGGGGACTGGGAAGCGGCGCGCACGGCAGTGGTGCTAGAGTGCGTGCTGCGGCACGTGGACGCGCGCGAGCTGTGGGCGTGCAGCGGCGTGTGCCGCGCGTGGCGCCACGCCGCCGCCCGCCACTGGCGCCGCCACCTGCTGCCCGCTGCTCGGCCCGCCACGCTGCGCGCGCTCGCCCGCACGCTCGACACACTGGCTGACGGTATCCTCATTGCTCAAGCGTACTTCACGTTGTCCTTTAAAAGTTCTTAGTCACTATTCTCGTCAAGTCATCGGTTTTGGGTGCGTTCACGGATCCATTTTTATCAAATTTGCTTGGCTTGTGTAGGTTTACAAGTGCTACTAGTTCGAAAATATCTGATTAGGTATCTATTCTAAATGAAAACCCCCGTTTACTTATTTTTTACATTTTAGTGCCTGGAAGTCGGTTTTTTTAAGTTTTTATTCATACCCTTAAGTGATAAGGATGGTCCACCCCTAAAAAAAATAAAAATTTTGGGCATTTTATTTTTATTTTGTTATGATTCGAAAAATACATTCAAACCTAAATTTTTATTAGGGACGAACCCCAGTGGAGTGAGTCGCTAGTTATTATATAATTACCGAACGTAATAGCCAAAACATGCTTGTTTCTCCGAGACACACAAATGCACTCGCAAACCTTGGTTATCAATGTTTGTCTCTTCTTTAGCCAAGCGGTTATAGACGTTAGAAGATTGTGGTAGATAGCAAGCATGTGGATACGGTAATACTCAGTACTCAGTTGATTGCATGTAAATGTTTGTGGGTCAGTCTAGTTGTTATATCGCATCCAGATTCCAGATTTAGTAGTAATAATAAAAATGTGTGCGTACTCCACTTTCGTATACATATAGTTTTGACATGATACTCGTATTTGCGTTTCAGAAGGACGGTCGGAGTGGTCTTGGCGCAAGGAATATGCTTTAGAGAACGCGAGGTGGGAGCGGTGTGATCAGTTGCTAGCGCCCACTGCGAGCTCTGCGCCGCTGGTGTGCGCCGACCTACACAGTAGTGGCTCTTATTTGGCGGTTGTCGACGAAGATGCACGAGTTACGGTATTATACGCAAAATTATATCTAATATTTGTAAAGTTCACAAACATACACATAGATATACGTACAAACTTTCGCATTTAAGAGTCCGATGTATCACCAAACACATGGTTTATTTTTTTAGTTGTAACTTTAACATGTTCTAGATATATGAACGCGTACGGCCAAAGGCTACCGCTCAAAGTGGAGATGTGGAATGGGCTGCGCAGTGGAGCGACGTCGTGAAAACCGAATGGCGGAATATTTCCTTCGCACAGTGGGCGCCGCGCATCACTAGTCTGCTGCTGGCGGGACGCATGGCGCTTGTGGAGCGCTTCGAATTGCTTTGCATTAATTTCGATGGTAATTTTATAAACTGGGTATTGCCACTATTAGGAAATAACAAAATCAAATAAACTTATAAGTAATAATAGATATACACAACAAATAATTACACTTGTAGAAGAGTGGCAAAGCAAAATAGTATGTCGAAGTGCCAGCGGCCCGGGAGGTGCCGCCTGCTGGGTGGACGATTACAACTTCCTCTCAACGCGACTTCAATTACTGGCTCCAGGACACGCATGCACCACGGTGTGGCTTAATGCTGCTTCGCAGGTATACAATAAATCTGAGTAATATTATTATAACGTAGTAATATATTGTTACCTTCTCTTGCGGCAAAATACGTAAAAAAACTCATACGCAACTTTGATATAGTATGAGGCATGGATAGAACCGAGTGCGCGTCAAAAATACTATAATTGTAAATGCAATATATTTTGGGTACATGAGTGTGTTTGTCGCTTCTTCATGCCGTAAAGGTTTAAATATTTTGAGTGAAACTCGGAATAGAAATAACTTATGTCCATATTCAAAAAGGAAAAACAGAATGTATATATTTTTTATAGGAAACGTACTCTGAATTCGCTGGCGTGACCGCACCATTACTGCGCATATATAACGAGGCTGCAACACATATTTCGTAAGTTTATCTGATCAAACATTTGCCAGCGCTTAAATTTATTTGACTCATAATAATTGTTTTTTTAAACTAGGCACATCCTCGTAACTGAAGTCTCTAAAGAAAAACAAATATTAGACAGCAATTCAGAAAACGTATTAGAAGATCATTTCAAACCAAATGCTTCATATTACAGTTGCTTACAAAAGGTAGGAAATTTAAATTAATGTTATTGTTTTTTTTTTATCATGTCTATACATATTGAGACCAGATGCATATAATTCATATGCATCATTCATATGATCTCCGAAAAGGCGAGACTCAGAGGCTGCTAGTGGCGGCGGCCGGGTCACCCGGCGGATTGCGGGGCGTGGCGCGCGCGCTGGCGGCGTGGCGGCTGCCGGCGCTGCAGGTGCCGCTGCTGTGGGTGGAGGACCACCTGGCACAGCGCGTGCAGCGACACCGCCTGCGTCTGCTGGCCGCGGACGAGCCCGAGCCCGAGCACACGCCCGACGAGGACGTGATGCGCGCGCTCTGTACACCACCAGACGCTACCTGTTGTCTGTCTGCACGAATTCTCGGATTGGTCCTCCATCCTAGGTACGTACATATTATTAATATTTACCGATTTAAATAAAACAAATACTAAATGTTAAGCGAAACTTACTACAATACATTAGTGAAAACCGTACCCTAATCGGTTATGCCGTTTCTGAGATTAGCGCTAATGTGTGTAATGTGCGCGCGCACAAACGCACAGACAAACAGACAAAAAATCTAAAAATCATTGTTTTGAGTTCTATTGCGTTAAAAAGACTAATCTAATATTTTGTATGTACAGACAACGATCAGTTACAATTTTATTATATGTATAGATCTTATAGAATTGTTTATCCTTAATTAAGTTATTATCTTGTACCGTGTTTGAATACCTACTTATGAGATTTAAAAGTAAAAAAAAATTAAAATTCTTTAAAAAACTTAAAGTTCAGCTATAACTCGGACTCCATATCGGCGGCACACAATAATTAGTAATAGCTCCGCTGAAGCAGAAAAAGGATCTTTTTTTAAGAAAGAATAAATAATCGATTTTATTTATGTCAATCCATAATTCTGTTTCGTTTTTTTCTTATTTATCATTTGCAGATATTTTTCTTTTATAGTCTGCTTTGTTTGCAAAGGAAAGTAGCAAAATTATATTGTGCTATAGGGACCGTGCGCCGAGACTTTTACGCCAACTAGTGGCTAACACCTGAATTTATTGGGATCCTTTTTCAATAATATCCACGTGAAGAAAACATTGTTGTATTTTAATTCGATTACACTAAGAATTTATATTTTTTTTTACACATAACATATTTTTTACATCATAAACCTTTGACACGCTCGTTTGTGGTACAACTTTTGCGGTTAAAACAGTTTCACTTTTATTACTTTTTTATACTACACCATAAACATGGTTGTTTTACTAGAATATTTTTTTACCTTTTTTTTTATTCCAATCTGAATTAATGCTTGACCTGATGGTAAGTGGTAACGCAGTTGTTGATGGTAAGTCGCACTAATTCACTTTTTCACTATTCTGACCATCACCATGTGCAATATTATTAATAACTGATTGAAATTCATATTTTATTAATTTTCCTTTTTTATAAATATTTACAAATGGATGTTTTGATCACACTATCTTCGGGAATGAAACACTAGGGGAACAATAATGCTGCCCTCTCTACATTTTGCGCACGGTCCTCATTCGGATTTAATTTTAAACGTAAAAACATGGTAATCCTCCAATAAGTAATTGTTTATTATTTGACATATACGGTAAGAGTTTTTTTAGTCCAAGTTTTTGTTTAATTGCAAGGGGAGGGTGTGCGTGGGCAACAACCACGGCGGGCGCGACGTGCGTGTCGCTGCCGGCGCTACAGGCCGTGCTGCAGTTGCCGCTTGATCCCGCGTGCGACCCGCTGCTGTCACCGCACTATGTTTTTCCTTCCGTAGATGATGACTACTTTGTAACGTTAGTAATATTTACAATTCCTATTATTTATAATACGCAATCCTATTATTTACGCTAATATTATGTATTCTACACGGGTCGGGTCCAAAAGTTAATGAGAATTTCTTTTCTGTCAAAATGTTAACATATAACAAAAAGTTGAAAAGTTCAGTTGGTGATTTAATTTGTGTTTCGGGGAGCGTAGGACATCATTTCGGATGGTCGGATAGCTGTTTCATATTTACTTATCATAAATAGATGTGCAAACCAATGGCAAAACCTGTATGATAATTCAATAATATGAGCCTATATACCTGAACAAGCACGTCTAAATGTATTTCAGCTGGATATTTGTTACAAGACCTAGCTTAGCTGAATCGAATTGATCAAAAACACGCAAGAATCGATTTGATGTTTATTGACTAAATATTATTACAAAACCGTTGTAGTAGAAATAAAAGTGAAGGCGCAGGCAGTATAATGTTCGTATATTATAAAGTACGTGTGTTTGCGGCAGGCCCCAGGGCGGCGGGTCGGGGCTGGTGCGCGCGTGGGCGGCGCGCAGCGGGCGGGCGGGCGCGCGGCTGCGGCACGCCGCGCCCGCGCTCGCCGCCTTCCTGCTGCCGCGCCGCGCGCGCGCCCGCCGCCTGCTCGTGCTCACCGCAGACCAATTACACGTCTGTACTTGTAATACTGTTTCCTACAATCTAGAGCAGCATTTTAACACTGATAAAAATAAAATTGCTAAGAAAAAAAAGTTCTTAATGATTACTTACAGTGAATTAAGTTTAGATGATATATTTCTTTAAAATTTTAAATATACGTATATGCATGTAAATACTACCCCTATATATACGAGTGTGTAGTAATGAAACAAAATAGTTTGTTTCTTATTTGTTTTTATGTAACAATAATATCTGAAACTAGCTGAAGCCGATTTCAAAAATTATTTTTGCGTTTTACAATCTAATTATTGAGGAAGGCTATTTATTATAAGCTGTCTTCATCACGCTTCGAAACTCGGGAGCAGAACAATTAAAGATATTTATTTTTTTATTAATTAATATTTTATTAAACTTGGCGGGCGAAGACGCAACCAGAATCTTATTAATTATAATATATTATAACAATTGTTAGAAGCAATAACGGATATTTGTTTTAAATTTCATAATTTTTATTTGAATCCCTTTCCATTGAGTCTTTTGCGGAATAAATCGAACGCTATCTATAGAAATGGTTTAATTTTTACTGAAATTGCTTCAGATTTGGTACTTATTTTTTTCTATTTTTTTAATTTTCTATTAATTTTTTTCTTAATAAAGACAAGGATGATTGATTTGACAGGTTTGGCAAACACTTGTAAACTGACTACTCACCATAAAAGATGAACCTACTGACCTGAGATTTTTTTGGATATCTGTTATAAAAGGCAAGTAATAAAAATGTAATTCTTATAACATAATGGACAATTTTACAACGTGAAATATTATTGATACACCTATAAATTAATTGTAGAAATTTTACGTAGGTATGTATAGGTACCTACCAAATTTGTCTATAATTATCAAACAAATATTTCTACTGGATTCATAATGAAATAACAAATATAAATAAAAATTAACTGTGGCTATTTATCTATTTATTTTTTATATTCGTATTCAATATTTACGTTTAAAAACTTTCCATCTAGCCTTCGAGATAGTAACAGCCTGCTAGATGTTATTTTAATATTGTTAATTCATTATTTAAGCAATATCAACCACAACACATCACACATGACACCTCGTCTTTATTCCGATACACTCATTTGGTGCCACTTGTAAGTTAGATCCAATCTGTTTCTTGTTTTTGTTGTAAATGATAACATATTTTCAGCTTGGCGTGAGCTTGATAAACATCTTGGATGCAGATGTGGACGACATTATATGTGTGGACCGAGTTGCCTGTGCGCGCATTCTCTAGTCGATCGCTCACATTGCATCCTAATTTGTAGTTTAGTCACTCTACTAATTGTAAAAATGTAAATCTGGTAACAAATAATTGTATAACTTTAATTTTAAATATATACTTATATACATATTTTTATCATTTATTATATGTTATTTGAACCTGATGACTCTTTCAGAACAAAATATTTACAAATTATGATAATATGATGGGTATAAGAACTGCTATAATTGTATATGGCGTGAATCTAGAGATGCTTCCTGTAAAGTGTAAACGTTATAATAGTTCCCAGTTGTTACATAATACATATAAGATCTTATAACTATGATGAAAAACTGTCCGCTGCCCCATCTAACAGTAAAAGTATACAAAAAAGTCAAATATGGCTTACATCACCTATATGAAGTAAAAGATCTCGACTCAATGTTGTCGAGGTCGAGGTCGTATTGTGACGTCACAACAGCACACAGCTACTAGCAAATCTCTATAGTGGTGCTCTTGAATTTAGAGTTTGATTATTGTTTAACTTAGTTTCACCACCACCACCAAATCTCAAGGCAAATACTATTTTAAATTTAAAAAATATGACTGATTTATCAAACACTATACTAGAACAGTCAAAATTAGAGTTTAAGCAAGCTCTCTGTGCCTGGCTGACTCTCAACAAATCAGCCACATCTGCAATACTCCTTTTAAAATCACTTTCTTTAAAAAAAAATCAACATAGCCCTAAATATAAAGATTGTGATTTAGCCAATTTTGGTCGTCTTATTGCTTTAGCCTATTTCTTTAGTTTTTCTCTTTTGGGAACCAATGATATTCATTTTTTTGCATCCATCCACTGCTCACTTTATCATTTTTAATTAAATTTTAATAAAATGAAAAAAAAAAATCCATCCACGCTATAGAGCTTTACAATATATTGAGGGCTATAGTGATCGCGACATCTGGCGGGAGAAAAAAAAGCAAAGTTATTCCCTGATAGCGCTGTCCAATTCCTTTGTATAGGATGAGGCATGTGTACTAGTATACTATTATATTATGATCTGTGGTATAACTATAGCATCAAATTGTTATTAGAATTATTTGTATATTTTTTCTTTTATGCGTTATGAAAAAAATTATGAGAGTGAATTTCTCGTCCTAAGGGAAGCTCGTCCCCATGGAAAAGATAAATCGCTATTTTGTAACGTCCGCCATATTGGATTAAAATGGCGGCATTTAGGTAATCGTGCAGTACGGAGGGTAGAAGTAAGGAGAACCGTCATGTATGGGGGGATTAGTTGAAAAAGTGTCCACTTGTAAACAGCAAAGTATTGTTCAAACACTCACCGAAATAAGTCACTTGAATTTAATTAATTATTAATTTTAAATTTATAATTATTTAGCGTTAATTTGTAATTTTATTTAATTATAAAAATAACTATAAACCGAATTATTCGTTAACTTTGAATGAAATAAATCACCAGTTCCGCCATTTTCTGTCAAGACGAGGACGACGGTCAAGCTAATAATATTACATTGGTGGTCATAAATTATCTTTATTTGTCTTATTTATCTGTGATCTAGGCGCTTTATAACATGGATGACAAATAAATTTGATCGACGAATTATCGATTATATATATATTGTTTTTTTTTTTTGGTTTGGGTTAGGTTTGGCGAAAAATATTCCAATGAGTTATTAGATATTATTACTTCATGTATATCAATTTACACAACGACGATCGATTATATATATATTGTTTTTTATTTTTGTTTGGGTTAGGTTTGGCGAAAAATATTCCAATGAGTTATTAGATATTATTATTTCAAGTATATCAATTTACACAACGACGATCGATTATATATATATTGTTTTTTTTTTGGTTTGGGTTAGGTGTGGCGAAAAATATTCCAATGAGTTATTAGATATTATTACTTCATGTATACCAATTTACACAACGACGATCGATTATATATATATTGTTTTTTTTTGGTTTGCGTTAGGTTTTGCGAAAAATATTCCAATGAGTTATTAGATATTATAACTTCATGTATATCAATTTACACAACGACGATCGATTATATGTATATTGTTTTTTTTTTTTGGTTTGGGTTAGGTTTGGCGAAAAATATTCCAATAAGTTATTAGATATTATTACTTCATGTATATCAATTTAAACAACGATGATCGATTATATATATATTGTTTATTTTTGGTTTGGGTTAGGTTTGGCGAAAAATATTCCAATGAGTTATTAGATATTATTACTTCATGTATATCAATTTACACAACGACGATCGATTATTTATATATATTGTTTTTTTTTGGTTTGGGTTAGGTTTGCCGAAAAATAATCCAATGAGTTATTAGATATTATTACTTCATGTATATAAATTTACACAACGACGATCGATTATATATATATTGTTTTTTTTTTGGTTTGGGTTAGGTTTGGCGAAAAATATTCCAATGAGTTATTAGATATTATTACTTCATGTATATCAATTTACACAACGACGATCGATTATATATATGTATTTTTTTTTTTGGTTTGGGTTAGGTTTGGCGAAAAATATTCCAATGAGTTATTAGATATTATTACTTCATGTATATCAATTTACACAACGACGATCGATTATATATATATTGTTTTTTTTTTTTGGTTTGGGTTAGGTTTGGCGAAAAATACTCCAATGAGTTATTAGATATTATTACTTCATGTATATCAATTTACACAATGACTAACTACTAACTTTGCGAAACCTAACTTTCGGAAACCTAACTTTTGAAAACCTAACTTACGGAAACCTAACTTTGCGAAACCTAACTTACGGAAACCCAACTTTCCGCGACCTAACTTTCTGAAACCTAACTTTCAGAAACCTAACCTATGGAAACCTAACTTTCGGAAACCGTACCGTGTGGAGAGAGGGCACAACTGTGCTAACGTTAAGAATATGCTCCGTAATATTCTTTAAATATAAAATATAACCAGAAAAGGTCTGAATATCAGTGTTAAGTAAAAATAAGTTAACAAAAAATGAGTACAATTAAAGGTAATGGTTACAACCTAATAAAAATATATTTAGTGCTTAAAATCGTGGTTTGTGCTAATCGTAACGAAACTCAGTTACACCACAGATCACATAACACTATACTAACAGATAGTCCAGTCCATACAAATATTTGACTTTGCTAATCCGCGCTCTCAAGGTCTCAAGGTCACTATAGCAATTACAAAATATATTGCTTAGAATATTGTCTTAGAGACTTGAGTCACGGTAATATATTTTTTATTTAAGTGCGTGTATCTTTAAAATCTAAATCTACCGAGTCCAATTTGAAACATTATTTTTTATTTTTATTATTGCATTTCATTTCGTGTTTTATATATTGCATAGACTTATGTATATAAATATTATTATTTTTTTAACGCAAAAAAAAAAATATTCCAATGAGTTATTAGATATTATTACTTCATGTATATCAATTTACACAACGACGATCGATTATATATATATTGTTTTTTTTTTGGTTTGGGTTAGGTTTGGCGAAAAATATTCCAATTAGTTATTAGATATTATTACTTCATGTATATCAATTTACACAACGACGATCGATTATATATATATTGTTTTTTTTTTGGTTTGGGTTAGGTTTGGCGAAAAATATTCCAATGAGTTATTAGATATTATTACTTCATGTATATCAATTTACACAACGACGATCGATTATATATATATTGTTTTTTTTTTGGTTTGGGTTAGGTTTGGCGAAAAATATTCCAATGAGTTATTAGATATTATTATTTCAAGTATATCAATTTACACAACGACGATCGATTATATATATATTGTTTTTTTTTTGGTTTGGGTTAGGTGTGGCGAAAAATATTCCAATGAGTTATTAGATATTATTACTTCATGTATACCAATTTACACAACGACGATCGATTATATATATATTGTTTTTTTTTTGGTTTGCGTTAGGTTTTGCGAAAAATATTCCAATGAGTTATTAGATATTATAACTTCATGTATATCAATTTACACAACGACGATCGATTATATGTATATTGTTTTTTTTTTGGTTTGGGTTAGGTTTGGCGAAAAATATTCCAATAAGTTATTAGATATTATTACTTCATGTATATCAATTTAAACAACGATGATCGATTATATATATATTGTTTTTTTTGGTTTGGGTTAGGTTTGGCGAAAAATATTCCAATGAGTTATTAGATATTATTACTTCATGTATATCAATTTACACAACGACGATCGATTTTATATATATTGTTTTTTTTTTTTGGTTTGGGTTAGGTTTGGCGAAAAATATTCCAATGAGTTATTAGATATTATTACTTCATGTATATCCATTTACACAACGACGATCGATTATATATATATTGTTTTTTTTTTGGTTTGGGTTAG